CACAGCTCAAAGGCATCAATTCTCCTTCTATCCTCCTTGATCATTGTCCAACTCTCTGATGCATAACAAGTGATTGTGAAGACCATGGCCTGTATCAGACGCACCTTAGTCTCCAGAGAGACACCATCGTTTGTTCTCCTAGCAGCCCAATATGTTGTGGTGGTAGTGTTATGTGATGTCAAGTGGCCTGCAACTCATAGCAACCATATGTATGAGATGAAGAGAGGGAAAAAGGGGCTCACCGGATTGTCTTTGATCACAGACGACGTCCACCCAGGCAGCACCTCTTCTTCTATCTGTGACCACACGAAGGAGTTTCCGAAGATGTCCCCGTGCATGCACTCAAAGCACAGCTCCACTTGGTAACCATGGTTCAGCAAGAGTCTGAGCATGGCCTCGTCATTGAGAGCGTACTGAATGGCACTGGGGAAGCGGGTGTCGTTGACACGCATGAAGTAACAGTTGACGTCAGCTCCATGGGCCAGCAGCAGCCGGACGATCTCATGGCTGTTGGCTCTGACAGCCACGAGCAGGGAGTTGAGGGGATCCAGGTTGGGATCCGCGCCTGCAGCCAGGAGGACCTCTGTGCACCGCACGTCGTTATTAGACACAGCAAAATACAGCGCCGTCTTCCTCCCGTCGTCATAGCTCTCCGAAATGTGTTCGGCGAGCAGGGCGTTGACATCAAAACCGTGTTCAATGAGCAGCTCCAGGCACTGCGCGTTCTGTCCATCCGCGGCCGAGTGGATCGGGGTCAGGCCACTTTTCTGGATGGCATTTCTGGATGTTACTGGGATAAGATATTTCAAAGCCCTGGGTGGGGAAGAAAGGTAAATATCCACATGGGGTGAAGATAGAATAAAGAAAGAAAAAAAACATTTTTCACCGTGCAAGTGCATAGGGTTTGTTTAGCTTTCATTGCAGGAAGCAGGAGTGGCATCCACTTCCTAAACAACATGCCTCTGGAAACTCTATGAACTTTGATGAATGACGATAGTTATAGAAAGGCTTCAGGCTTTTTCTTCATAGGGTCACTATGAGTCTCAATGGCAATCAACAACAACAACTACAAAGTTTTCATTAAATTTGTTAGATAAGCTACTACTAAAGCTTTTAACCTTTATTTATTCAGCTAATACCATTTTTATTCAACATAGTTTAGTTCTGATTTTGCTTCCCCTTCTAAACACTTCTGGGAGATCTTATATGTTTGGTCCTAGGACAATGCTTCCTTAAGAATCCTTGTTATCTATCTCTAAACAAATGGAGCTGCCAGCCTAAAAGTACAAGGTTTGAAACTGTCAGCTGCTCAGGGGGAGAGAGACAGCCAGTCAGTTCCCTTGGAGGGCCAGTTGACGATCAGTGGTGCACAACACCAGGCAATCAATATGAAGCTCTGGACGTGTTGTTGTTGTTGTTTAATGCCGTCGAGTCGTAGACAACTCATAGCGACCCTATGAACCAACAGCCTGAGCACTGTTCGTACATAGAGTTTCCGGAGGCAAGCCATTTCGGAAGTGGATGCCGCTCCTGTAGCCCATAGAAAATTGCACTGCTAAACCCCAAGGTTGTGCCTCTCTAGCAATTCAAATCCACCAGTGGTTCTGTTAGAGAAAGTTGGGGTTTGAGTCAAAACTGGCCCTTAACTGACCCTCCAGCGGGTTTTCAGAGTCAGTTAACAACAGAATCAGTAAGCAGAAGGAAAGATACTGCCCATCTTTCTGCTGCAGAGGAACTAGTAGATTTGAAGTGTGTGCTTTCAGGACTGCAGTGCAGCTTCTTAACACAAGGCCACCAGAGGGGTCACCTATGAGTCAGTTTAAATAGCTCTGATGGCCTAGTCTGTAGAGAGCTGTGCTGTCAAAAGCCAGTCTCAATCCACCAGATTCTTCTGGAGGGGAAATGGGCAACCTCCTCATTGCAATTCTCTGAAGACCACTGGTGATCCAGCTGAGTCAGTTCCAAGCTTAACAGCAAAGAGAAAGAGAGAGGGAGAGGAAGAGAGGAAAAGAGAGAGCGGGAGGAAAAGAGGAAGATGGGGGGGGGCGGGGAGGGAGAGGGAGTGGGGGAGAAGGGAAGGGGGGAGAGAGAGAAAAACTCAAGTGATGCCAAAAACTGGATAAATTGTGTATACTGCACTGAAACAGATGAGGGAGTGAATAATTTAAAAGTGATGTATGATAGGGTCTTATGGTTATCACAGGAGTCCACAATTAAGGTTGCATAGTGGAATGTATTGGGGGGGTGGGGGGGGTGGGGGGGGGTTGTGTACCAGGGAAGGAGTGTTTCTTCTACTTTTGAAAGAGAGGAGCGAACTGGGGGATGGGGGAGGGATGGGCGGGGAGAGAAGCGCAGCAATGAATGAATGGAAATCCAAAATCTCTGTAAATGCTCATTAAAATTATTAAAAAAAAGAATGTGGTATAATCTTGATTTACAGAATCATGGCCTATTGGTCATGATCAATAAAATCACAAGAACTTAAAATTTTACATCATTTAGTTCAATTCTTTCATGTAATGGTTTCATTCCTGTGATTCATTTAATAAAAGAGCAATACAAAGTCCAAAGATTGACAAGATGTTCCCAAGCTACATATTTAGATGTTGAATAGTGACTAGAATTTAGGTTTTTTGAATTTTAACTTATTACTCTTCTTTCACTACTTCTTGATCAGTGTATCCTTTGATACAGATCACGTTCATCCCGTCTGCCTCTATATAATATGCAATTTAATCGTTGGTCAAAGCAGTCTTTATTATCCCACTAACCTGATACTTGGTCACCTGATGTCATTAAATGTGGTTTATGTTTCTAAGTACATGTGATAAATATTTGTGACTTTCACACTTGACCGATCCTCTGGTCATGTATGAGGTCCACAAGCAAATGATCTCTTGTGCCTAACTTAGGGCTGTGGATGTGTGAATTCATGAACACTGGGAGCAAATCCAGGTAAACATTAACAACATGTCACTTTGCACCAAATACTGCAACTTACCTAACGGGGATACTAAGCATAATATAGCCTATTTCAGGGTTTGAACTTATGAAGTGTGGTTAATTACCTAAGGTTATTATGCTGGGTAGTTTAATGTTGAGACGCAACACTTCTATTGATAAACTGATTGTATAACGTTTGTGATTTAAAATCTTATCCAATAATTTTTATGGAATAAAGAAATATAAACGTCTAATAAAACTTTTCACACCAAAAATATATGTGACATTTTACTATCATGGCCTGAAGGCTTTTGCAATAAAGGCAGTAATACTGAAATTATTTAACGGATTTTAATCCTTAATTATAGGACAACATTTTTAGCAATTTCTCTGTCTTTTGTTAAACATAATTTTAATAAAGAGGAACTTTTGTTGGGGGAGGATGTAGGAAAGATTTCTCATTAACAGCTTATTTTCTTCTAAAAGTGATTTTCATGTCATCATAAAAACTTTACATGCTCATTATGGGTATTTTGTAAATAATAAAATTATGTGTAAAAGGTGAAAAGTAAATGAGTTCTAAATATGTAAATGTAACCATGGTGATTATTTTCTCTGGTTTTTTTTTTGGTCTTTTGGTGGATATTATTAAGAAACTTAGGACTCTGTTAGATATCGCTGAATTGTTAGACCTCACTGAGTCAGATCTGATTCTTAACCCTCATACACAGCAGAGCAAAACAATACTGTCTCCTGGACTACCGTCATTGCCATGTTTGAGCCCATCATTGAACCTCAGTTGATCCATCTCTTCCTCTTTTTCATTGACCCTTTACTTGGTGACCTTATCACAGACCGATCCCTCCTGATAACACACGTAGAGTATATGTGATGAAGACTCACCAACTTCATTTCTAAGGACCTCTGAGTGTACTTCCAGGCCAAATATGTGTGCTCCTCTAACCGTCCATGGTATTCCCCAACATTGCAGTTCAAAGGCATCTGTCTTGTATTCTTCTTATTCATTGTCCAGTTTTCACATATATATGATGCAATTCAAAGGACCATAGCTTTGATTAAATGCACCCTAGTCTTCAAAGTGATATCCTTGATCTCAACATTTTAAAGCTGTTATTTGTAGGAGACTTTCCCAATGCAGTATTGTGGTGTCAAAGGTTTATTGTTCAAAATGTCTTTCCTAGCCATTGATGAACTATTTATTTGAGCTGCATTATTTATTGTATTAAGGAGACAGGATTAGGGTGGTATATAAGCGCCACCCTGCTAGAGTCTTATATATATTCACGGGAACTCAATGCTAGCTCTCTCTTTTTGGGACACTTGATTTCCTGTGACACTGGGACCCAGCATCCAGGGCACTGCTCACCAGTCTCTGTAACACTGGCCTGTGTCACCCACAATCATGTGTGTCATTTACCTGATAGGCCTGCGTCTCTATGAGACCGTCCAATAAATAACTGAACCCAAGGGACGTACAGGAGTAGGGGAGAGCTGAAGGGACGAGCTGATGATGTGGGAAATTATGATGTTATACAGCAGATCAAACTTTTGGGACCCTGTTGACTTCCCACTTCTTGTAATTGGTCGGCTACTAATCCTAGCAGAACGAATGAGGAATACAAATATTGTTCAATATTTTTACTGCTGCCTTGATTGTGTTGATTGTGTATCCAATGAAAAGGAAATCTTCAAAAGCGTCAATTTTTATTACAATATTGCTTATTGGTGTAGTTGTAATAATGCTTGTTTCTTTATAGTAAAAGATCTTCTTTGATATCTTTGATTCTTTGAAAGCAAGTCTTTGATATTCATTAGTGAGTTCTTGAAATTTTTCTTGCTCTTAGGAAACAAGATTGTATCATCAGCATATCATAGATTGTTGATGATTCTTCCTCCAATTTTGATGCCGTGCTCTTCGTATAGTCCAGCGTCTCAGATTATATGGTTAGTAAACAGGTTGAATAAGTATGGTGAAAGACACAACCCTGATGCACATCTTTTTTGACTTTAAACCATGCAGTACCTCCTTGTTCTGTTCAAAGAATTGCTTCTTGGTTTATAAACCTCATGAGCACAATGTTAAAAAAAAAAAAAGTTCAAAAGTGTTCTAGAGATCCCATTCTTCACAATGTTATCTAGAGTTTGCTGTGATACACATAATACCTTTGCATAAGCAAATGTAAAACACTGGCAAACATCTTTTTTATATTCTCTATTTTCAGCCAAGATCTATCTGATATTGCACAATGATATCCCTCATTCCATGTCACCTTTCAAATCAGATTTGAAGTTCTGGTAGTTCCCTGTTTGTGTACTGCTACAACTATTTTTTCATTCTCTTCAGCAATATTTTATTTTTTAAATGGTATTGATGACATTGTTCAGTAATTTCAGCATTCTATTGTCTCACCTGTCTTTAGAATGGGCACTAATGGCGAGCTCTGGTGGCCTAGTGGTAAAAAGCTGCACTGCAATCCCAGAGATGCGTGGTTCAAATCCACCAGATGCTCTGCTAAACAAGGAGGAACAATCTCCTCCTATATGAGTCAGATCTGATTTGATGGCACACACATAAAAAATAATAATTTAAAAAAATTAGAATGGGCACTAATAGGGACCTCTTCCAATGGGCCGGTTAAGTAATCTTCCAAATTTATTCACAAAAATGAGCACTTCCAGGGCTATTTCTGTGTGTTAATGCATTTCAATTACTATTCTATCAATTCCTGGAACCTTGTTATTCCCTAATGAGTTAAGTATAGTCTCAGCTTCTTGATTATATGCTACCTCTTGAAATGGATGGGTGTTAACTATGTATTTCTCTTCCATCTTCTTCTTCTGCTTCCTGATTCAGTCAATATTTTGCCCACAGAATACTTCAGTATTGCACCTTGAGGCTTGACTTTTTTCTTCAGTTCCTGCAACTTAAGAAATGTAGAATGTATCTTTCTCTTTGGTCTTGTAACTCCAAGTCTTTTCACATTTTATTATAATACTTTGTCTGCCTAAGCTGCCCTTTGAAATCTTCTGTTCAGCCCTCTTAATCACTTCATCCATTTAGCATTCCTCACAGCAAGTTTCTGAGTCGCTCCTGACGTAATTGTTCTCTTTTCTTTCTTTCCTGTTATTTTTATTACTCTTTGCTTTTGTCATGTATAATGTTCTCAATGTCATCCTACAACTAGTCTAGTCTTAGGTCATTAGTTTTCAGTGCAGTAATTCTATTCTTGAGATGGTCTCTAAATTCAGATAGGATATAATTAGTGTCATATTTTAGCTCTTGGGCTTGCTTTAATTTTTTTCCGCTTCAACTTGAACTTGAATAGGACCAATTGGTTTTATATCCAACTTGCCTTGTTCTGATTGATGATATTGAACTTCTTCACTGTCTATTCCCACAACTACAGTCAATTTTATCTTTATGTATTTACATCTACCAGAGCCCAAATTATAGTTATTGATAAAGTTTTTCAATGAATACTTTGTTTTCCATAAAAACTATCAGATTAATTCAGCATACTTTCTGTCAACATTGCCAAATTTTCCAAAGGGTGATCTTTCTTCTTTGTTTCCAACTTTGATATTCCAAGTACCAGTAATTATCAGTGCATCTTAACTATAAATTTAATAAATTCTAACCTGCAGAATTTGGTAGAAATCCTTAATTTCTTTATCTTTGGCTTCAGTGGATGGTGCAAAAAAAGATGAGTAATAATCATACTAACAGATCTATCTCAATGCATATTATCCTGATATTGACCACATTGTACTTCAGAATAGATCTTGAAATATTCTTTGTGAGTGTGACTGTGACTCCATTTCTCTTCATTGTTTCAATCTAGCAGTGTAGGTAACCTATAGCCGTCCATTTCACCTCACCAATAGCTAGCAAGACCAACAAATAAGGAAGGCCAAAGAAGAATTGAGGCTCTTGAGTTGTGGTCTTGATGAAGACTATCGAGTAGACCAGACTACCAAAAGAACAAACAAAAGTGTCTCAACAGAAGTACAACCAGAGAGCTGTTAAGAGAGAAGGGTGGTGAAAACTTCATCCCACTTACTCTGGACATATTTCCAGGAGGAACTAGTCTTTGGAAAGAGTGATCATGCTGGGAAAAGTACATCAACAAAAGAGAGGAAGACCTTCAACAGGGCAAGGCTCAGACCTGTTGTTCATAGGGTCACTTTGAGTCATAGTTGACTCATGGTGCCCAAGAACAACAACACCAATGCCTAAGATATTGATTGTTATGTATTTCATTTCCTTTTTGATGACTATCCATTTTTCTAGATTCATACTTGATGCATTCCATATTCTGGTTATTAGTGGATGTTTGCCAGTCTTTCTTCTCATTCTGAGTGGTGCTACATGAGGAAATGAAGGTCTTAAAAGCTTTACTCCACCAATGTCATCAAGGTTAAGTCTACTTTGAGGGGGCAGTGCTTCCCTACTGGCACTGCCTTTGAAAACCCACTGGAGGGTCAGTTATGGGTGGGTTCTGACTCAGTGGTATATAAAAATAACAACAACAAAGAAGCCTGAATGGCTCATCTTCTGGCCTTCATGAGGCAATGTTCTGCTGCTGTTCATATGGTTTTCAGTGGCCATTTTTGTTTAACATCAGATAGACAATCCTTCTTTCTAGTGCTCCCAATCTTCTTCGTCTAAATGATCTCGTGAGATCTGGTCAGCACGGATGAATATGCTGATATTTGAAATATGAGTAGCATAGTTTCCAGCATCACAGCGATACAGAAACCAACCAAATAAACCACTGACAGACACATAACGATGCTATGTATGTACTTTGCATTTTGTTAAACTTATACTTCTCTCCCTGTGAATTATGACTTACAGATAGTGCCCCTCGTAGGCAGCTCGATGTATAGGGAGATGCCCTGCTCTGTTGGGCACATTTCCACTTCCTCCATATTCCAGCAGGAGGGAAATACAGTCTGGATTGCCTCCTCCTGCAGCCTCGAACAACACTGATGCTCCATCATCCGCCAAAGCAAATACATCACCACCTAGCAGGACAACACATATGGCAATAATGACCAAAAAAAAAAAAAAAAAAAACCACCAAAAAACAACAACAACAACAAAAAACCAACCCGAAGATAAAACCAGTTGCCATTATGACTCATAGTCACTCCATGTGCATCAGAGGGTCGACCTGTGCACCACAGAGGTTTCAGTGGCTGATTTTCTCTGAAGATGAGAAACTGGGAGAAAGGTTAAGAAGCAATTCTACTAGTCCTGAAAGGATGCCAGGATAGCAGAAGGTGAGAAAAGTAAGAGAGAAGTTACTGGCCTTTCTTATTGATGAGATCTAGGAAGGAAGGTGATGGTGACATTTAAGAAAACTCACATTTTTAGTCTTGGTTGAGAGAAGTTATTATATAGGAAATGGGAACAGAGGAGGGGTTTGGTTTAGGAGAAGATGCGTGTGAGATCCTGATCTTTGTGAAAATTGACTGTTTCTAGAGAACCATTAGGGCTAAGCAATGGACTGGGGGGGTTGAAATAGATGTACACTGCTCAACTGGATAGTGGAACAGGATTCTATAGAGAGCACTGACTATGACAACCTGAAGCCCACTTACATTAGGAGAGGAAGAAGAGGCAGGGAGTTTGGAGAAGAGTCAGAAGGATGGGGGAAAGCGAGAAAGGCGGGGTTCCTTTGCAGGTACCTTTGTGGATGAGGTGCTCTAACACGTCACAGTGGCCGTGCTCAGCAGCAACGCCTAAGGGTGTGACTCCGAATCCATCTCGCAGGTGGACACTCCCTCTTCCGTGCTTTAGCAGCAACGCGATGATATCTTTGCGCCCTTGTTTGGCTGCTTCGTGCATGGCTGACCATCGCTTGACGCAGGGCTGGTCCAGGTTGGAGTTGTGTTTAATCAGAGCAGATACCATGTCGTAGGAGCCCTTTCTCACAGCTGGAGAATGGTTTTTAAAAAAGAACAGTCAACAGTAGGCTAACAGCATGAATATATTGGAGGGTATTCATTAAATTTCCAAGCCAATTATCAAGATAGAATATAGCTTTCCCTTTTCCTTCTGCAAAGTCTAGCCTTCTATTTCTCATACCTAAACATCTACCTTTAGCATGGACGTATGTACAAGCTGATCCCACTTTTCCTTAAGATCCTGAGGACGAGGTAGAGTTTCATAGAAAATAGTGAAAGACAATAGGATAATGAGCATTCTTTTTCTGAATTTCTGAATTTCATTCACCAACAAAATGGAAATAATACACATTGTAGGTTTTATAAAAGTAAACAATGTATGTAAGATACTTAGTGTAGTATCCAAATACATACCAGGAACTCAAGAAGTGGAAAGATCAAAGAATCCCACTCTTCCCCTATCTTGGAGCTATTTGTTTACCAATTATTTCTCCCAGAAACAGAATCCAGCTTTGTTTTCTCACCAAATAGGACTTAAAGCCAAACCCACTGCTGCCACGTCACTTCCAGCTCGTCACAATCCTCGATGACAGAGTGGAGCTCCCGTGTGCGTTTCCGAGGCTGTAAATCTTGATGGATGTAGACGGCCTCATCTTCTCCAGGGATGTGGTGGTCATGTTCAAACTACTAACCTTCTGGTTGGCCGTCCTGCTCTTGAACCACTGCACCACCAGGGATCCTCCCAAAGAAGGCTGCTCCCAAAGTTAGTACTTAATAAACTTTTCTTATTTATTAAATAAACTCCTCGTAGGAACTTGCCACTAAGATTATTTAGAATCTAGGTAGAAGAGATTTGTCTAAATAGGTGAAGCATGTAACAGTGAATGCAGTATAATTTAAGAAATTCTTCAAATAAAATGTCTCTTCACATCTGCCTACATGTGATAGCTAAAATGACATTGGCAAGATTTTCCCCCCTTAGATTATGAAGCAGTTGTTTCTACTTAAATGTAAACATCTCTGGAAAACATTTTTTTTCTTATCAATAAGAAAACATCTCAATGAAAACAGCAAAACAAAAAATGCTATTCTTTGTAAATAGAGATAATATGGCCTTTTTCACTATATCTCTCATGACCTTCCTCTCTCCATTCCTTAACGTAACATGTGCTGCTTATAGGATAGGACACAATTTATATCTGTTGTTCACAGGTTGTTATGAAGCATACTTGTCTCAAGGGCACTTAACAACAACATACAATTCAAATGCACTGAGTGGCTCTGTAGGAGAAAGACCTGTCAATCTACTTCAGTAAAGACTGTGAACTACAAAACTCTATGGGGAAATGCTACTCTGTTGTAGAATGCTGTATGTGGAATGGTGGCTGAACGTTGAAAAGTCAGAACCAACAGAAGCTAACAACAACATGTGAAAGACACTGGATTGGGCATGATGGAAACAGATAGACTTGGGTTTCCTGCATGGGACTGTTAGGACGAAGTCTGTGGTGACTTCAGTTTGAAGAGAGATTACAGTCGAAGTCTTTGAACAGAAAGGTGGGTGGAGGCATGAGGCCACAGCCAGGAAGCTGAAGACTAAAAGGTTAAGGCCAAGGAGAGGGGAAGGGCTCTGGAAAGCAGAAACAGGAGGATGAAGACAAAGCTTGCCTAACCTCAATGGAAAGCAAGCAAGCAGTGAGCTTTGGGGTTCTCATTGCTCACAGTGTGGCCGAGTCTAGTGACAAATGCTGTTCTCTGGAACATCCAGCTGCCACTGGCATCTCTAATTACATGGCATGACCTCACCCTCGCCCGGACTGGGGCACGGCAAACATTAAGCAAGCGAAACCAACTAAGAGCAGTGTCCCCATTTACCTAATCTTGTGTCCAAAACATTCTTCCTAATTAGAAGAATGCATTCAATTAAAAAGAGGTATTAGAGAGGGGGAGTGAGGTATTAAAACCAAAACCTCTTTCCTCATATTTCTTTTGTAGTGAAATAATGAAAAAAAAACATGAAGAGGCTGTCCTTAACATATTTTTTAACTTTTTTTTTTTTAAATAAAGACTCCACTTGAAATTTAATCTTTGGAACTAAGAATAATTATATTTCCCATAAAAAATAAAATCTGCATTGGAGAATTCCATCTAAGCTAACCCAGAAAGACATTCTTAACAAAAAGATGATTGAAATAATGAAAATTCTCTCTCTCTCTCTCTCTCTTTCTTTCTCATTGATGTCTAGTTGGAGCTGAATCATAGCTCACCCTCCCTCATGTTTTTAGAGGCTGTAAGTCACATGGAAGGAGACTATCATCTTTTGTGCTCAGAGAAGCTGTTAGGTTTAAACCACCAGCCTTTGGATTAGTAACGCAACTCCATTCCCTTGAATATGCAGCTGGCATAATACTTGTTATGTGCCATTGAGTTGTCTGCGACCCACAGCAGCCCTATGTACAGCAGCTCTGAACCCTGCTCTGTTCTGAGCCTGTCTCACTAATTCTGACACACCAACTCCCATCGCTCCAGTTACTGTATCAATCCATCTCATCTGGGGTCTTCCTCTCCTGCCCTGTCCCTCCACCCTTCTGAGCATGATGCCCTTCTCCAAGAACCGGTCTCTCTGGGCCACATGCCCCAAGTATGTGAAATGGAGCTTCAAAATCCTAGCCTCCAAGTAGAAACTTAGTTTCACCCTCTCCAAGACAGATCTATTTGTTTTATTGGCAGTCCATGGTATGTTCAAGACTCTTCTCCAGCACCACAACTCAAAGGCATCGATTCTTCTTTTGTCATCTTTAGTCATTGTCCAGCTCTCTGATGCATAGTGAGTAATTATGAAGACCATGGCCTGGATTAGGCGACCGTAGTCTCTAGACTGACATTGCTTTCAGTATTATTGAAAGGTCCCTGACAGCAGATCTTTTCAAATGCAATTCATCTTTTGCTTTCCTGACTGCTGGTGCCAAGTGTGTTGACTGTGGAGCTGAGCAAGCTGTAATTGTTAACAACCTTAATCTCTTCTCCATCTATCATGGTGCTGCCAGTTGGCCCAGTGGTGAGAATCTTTGTCTTCTTGATGTTGAGCTTCAATCCCTCTTGAAGACTACAATCCTTGACCTTCTGCAGCAAGCACTTCGGGTCTTCTTTACCTTTAGCAAGCAAAGTTGCGTCATCTGCATAACGCAGATTGTTGATAGTCTTCCTCCAGTCCTGATGCCACATTCTTCCCTATAAAGTCCTGCTTCCCGAATGATCTGTTCTACGCATAGATTGGAAGGGCACGGAGATAGGATGCATCCCTGACACACTCCTTTCTTGATTTTGAACCATGGAGTATTTCCCTGCTCTGTTCTCAGTAGTGTTTCCTTGTTCAAGTATAGGTTTCGTTCGCATAAGCACAATCAAATATTCTGGGATTCCCATTTTCCTCAAGGTTAGCCACAATTTGTTATGATCCACACAGTCAAATGCCTTTACATAGTCAATGAAACACAGATAGGCATTCCCCTAGTATTCTTTGTTTTCTACCAAGATCCATCTGATGACCACTTCTAAACCCAGCATAATACTAGAGAAGGCATAACTAAGTAAATTTAAGAAAATAAAAACCCTTTCTGAATTAAAGATCGAGTTTACTCTTAACTGTTTAAGGAATTCAGTCATTTTATACAGATATTTGGCACTTTTGAACATTTTAACATTGGACTATTACGCATTCCTTTTTATTTGAAATAACTTCTCACTTTC